CGTTTCGCGAAACACGATTGGACGAATTGGATTCGGCAAAAAGTTATTTGCACTTTCCAGGTGCACTGTTGCATTTACAAGAATGTCCAGTTCATTTGTACGTTCAACATGGGAACAAAACCAGCTTTAAATCTGATGTGAGGCCAGATAGATACAAGGATCTAATGATCACTAATGCACGCCGAAAACACAATACCTGGGAATTGAAGTAGTGAACCAAACTATTAACTTATTTGGCATGGTACTGGGTCCGATTCAAAGCGAAGATGCCCACCGCCAAAATTGGGTGACGGTATCGGGGTTTGAAACGAAAGGCCCAAACGATACCAGCGAGTCAAAACGCATGATCGTTCTTGCACAAGGATGAACCAGTTATAAAGGCTACGCCGCACACGAATTCGCAACAAGAAAGGATAGGACAAGGGCAATAAAAATTATTGAGGGTTTGGATAAAAAACTAAAGTGCATGCTGATAGCATTCCAATCAACGCCTCACGCCTCACCGAGCACATGCTTGCGAGAAATTCTTTTCAAAGTTTGTGCAGTCATACGTATCGGTGATAAAGTGGGCATATGGTGATGGTAATGATTGCTGCTATTCATTAAGACCGGAAGAGAACCCATTCAGCAATATCGGTTATGGGGAAAGACACTCAGCCCCGAATTCAACATACGTTTCCCCTCAAACTTTAACCCCGACCTGAAATTCTTGCGTCCCGCGAACTACGATTCTTTGGCCACCATCTACAGTCTTTTAGGCGGTGGTGGCCCGGTGGTAACGTCACCAAAATTACCACCTCGGAGAACGTGTGTTCGAACCCCACCACCATCGTCTGACTCTCCCCATGGCAGCCCTTTGATTGGCAGCTTCCCTCTTCCTGAAAAATTGTATCATTGTGTATTCAATAAAAAGGAATTAAAATTAACAAGAACAAGAAAAAACCTTGGCCGTGCGTCTGTAAGCGAGTTAGATCAATACGTAGCCCAACATTCTGGAGTCAATGAACGTTGAAAAATTATATTTTTTACCAAGTTGATACTGTAAAGAATGGTGCATCAGGGAGGCGTGGTGACCGTATGCGGTATAGTTAACCAGTATAATGGTATTGACATCAAATGATGCACTGAAAGCGGACTGAATTTGAACGATGCACCCGCATTGTAGAACCATTTCGCATGACGCATTTCGTGTGACGGTAGTAGTTCTATTGAACCAGTTTTCAACATTCATTAGTGTCAGAATACTCCAACACGGTTTGATTTGACTCGCCTACAGCGGCATGGCTAAATTTTGTGTGTTAAGACTGAAGAACTGTGGGTCTGGGCGCAAGGATTACGGATCAAGGTTAATGAACTGGGTTTTTTGGATAGAGCTTGCTAGGAGACGTTATTGATTAAAACAATCGTCAATTCCGAGAAGCTGTGTAAGAGGCCATGCTGATTTTCGATGCACAAATAAGACCTGCCTGCGAACAGCAGGGCGTGAAAGACGGAACTGGACGAAACTTGTGAACAGAGACCCCCCTCCCCCCAGTAAATACGAGTAGATTGAATCAAACATTATACGATTTTTCTGCCTCGGTGCAGCGGATCGGGAAGGGACAAGTCAACCTAGATGATGGGTGCGATAAATTCGAAAGATGAGGCGGTAAAATTAGAAACTTTAGGAACAATCAATCACAGCCCACTCAGCTCCGGTCACGTGTTGTTGTCTACAAGTGGATGAATAAAAATGACAGTGGCTAGAAATTTGTCCAGTTCAAATCATTGGAAGTGTTGAGATATCGACAGATTTTGGACCATAAACGGGTGAAGAAAAAGAACAAAAGAGTGGTGTCGGATAGCGAATACTGAATAGATATTGTTATGTAGCGCGGAAGGTTGGGGGAGAGGGGGGTAGTTGGAGAGACGAGAATAAGATTTCCGAATCGGTGTTTAGGATTTCGAAAAAAAGGAAAAACACATGAGCTGATAACTGGTCGCTGAAGTCAGACTCACTTATCGGACACCAAGTGGAAACTAATGCGTGTCTGTGTGTCAGATATTTGGTACGTATGCGTGTCTGTCTGCGAGGAACCCCAGTCGGGGGGAATAAGGTACGCGCAGATCGAAAGACAGACAGACAGATGGGCAGGTTTGTGTGTGCTGCGCGCACGCAAGCGCGAGGAACGTCCATACATGGAAGCGCCCCACACTGTAATCGGCCGATCGAACATGAATAGGCGCGTGCAAATCTGTCGGTTTTTCGGACCTTAATAAGCGAACAGATTCCAAATTCATCGATACAGAACATACATACATACATACATATGCATACACACACACACACACACAGACAGACACACGGAAGAAGTTACGAGACTATTAGGTGATGATCCATTGCATTGCACAGTCAGCGTGTTCCAACAACGAACAGAACTAAGCAAGGCCCGCAGGTGTTCAAAGCCAACTTGCTTTCACATCGAAATCCACTAAGTTTTGGCATTTCTAACTTTGGCGATTCGTCAAAACTATATCTTAATCAGTTGCGAAAAAAATTAACACACTGACATCGTATTGCCTGCCAGAGCACATGAAAACATGACGCGTAATTTTGTACGTTAGTTGATCCCCATATAATAGGATTAAATGATTCGGGAAGACAGAGCTGGTTCAACCACAAGGTAGTAATAGCAAACGACCCCATATGCTTTAAGTTCAAGTTCTGTCAACTAACCCCTTATTTCAACACCATCTCACTGACCCTGAAGAGAGCCATCGACAGTGGATCACCCATTCCTGGACCACCACAGATTCTGCTTCGCGTTTATAGCGTTAGTCAGACGAAGGCTGTGGTTCTGTGAATCGCGGAGAAAATAAGCAAGTCTACTTTGGTAACGCGATAGCAACGGACCCAGTAAACTGCAAAGCTTGCTAACTTGAGACATTTGTGGCCCCATCGCGATATCCGGTTGTCTGTGAAGGATAGAGAGTGTGCCACGGCAGTTCGGCCGGTTCTGCTATACGGCGCAGTAACTTAGCCATTAAGGAAACAGAATAAAGATAGACTGTCGGTGTTTGAACATCGTTGTCTACGCAGCATTGCACGAATCTGGTGGGACAGTCGGACGAGTAATGCTGAGGTTAGGCGCAGAGTTTCAGGAAATCGCGGTAGCCCACTGGAGTAAGTGGTATACCTTCATAGATTACGTAGGTTGGGACATGTGTCACACATATCAGATAGGTTTTCACGGCGAGTGATGTTCGCCGAGGCAGGAAAAATGCCAAGGGTGGTCAAGCTAAGACCTGGAGCGAGGGTATGAAACCCCTAGCCCGGGTGGTGGTGGCGCAGTGGTTTAGTCACTGTCACCGGCGTGCTTTGGACCCTATGGTCCGAGGTTCGAGCCCCGCCACCGCCACCCGACTTTGGTGGTAGGCAGCTCCGCTGTCGTCCGGTTTAATACCACGCTAACCTATCGGGGCCTTATGTGGTTCGCCACTCCAAGTTCCGGGGCTTAGGTTGCCGATTTCAACCACTGAACAGCAGGCCCTCGTGACTATGGGGTTTAACCCGTCTGCTGTTCATCACACCTAGGTGTGTAATAAAAAAAAGAGTGGGTCACATAAGTCCCGTTAGGCCCTCTGGCTGGGGGCCCCGGGATGAGCATAACCGATGGTTCGAGACACTCATTGATATGATTGAGTGTTGTAAGCAGTGGTGTTTGTGCATTTTCTCAATTTTTTTGCAACCTTAGACCGTTGAAATTCTGCTCTGTTCGACTCTATTTTCAACTTTTGTGTCTTTCTCTTACTGTTCATCCAAATGGGCAGCCAAAAGACAGCAACCCAAACCGGCGCACGAAAGTGCACGGTTAATACTCGTACAAACTGAAACTGAAATAGTAAACGAATCACCAAATGATTTCATTTTCATAAAGACGCAAGCACCAAATTTTGGTTATATACCGCGAAGATCCAGCTGGGTCAACTACATGCCCGAAACAGCGAAAAGCACTTGTTCTCAAGAAGAGAAAAGTGAAACAACGCATCAATGAATTCCGATGGGAACGAAACACGAGAGGCTTACTTTCCACTTCGCAACCTCAGCTTCCAATCGAGCCAAATCGGCAGCCGCTTCCGATCGCACTAGTTCGAGTCGTTGTTCTGCTTGTTCCATCGCGTTTCGATGAGCCCGATCCCGCTGGGCTAGTTCGGTCTCCAATGAACGGTTTTCTGAAGCTGGATGGGATGAAATGTAACCGGATTACTCGCGTACGCGGCCACACAGACAACAAGAACTAGGCAGACCCCAATGCAAACATCAACACAAATGATTCAGACCAGGGTCCATTGCTTGGCAAAGGAATTTTCGTTCGACATTATTTTACTGTACAATCTCATCAAATCGAACACAGAACACGTCTCAATAGGACGCCAAAATTGGACTGAGTGCATAACAGACACTGTCCCTTTCGGTTGTCCTCATAGTGAATCAATTGTCCATATCTCTTCGCTTCTGGCGAACGACAATCCAGGCCGCAGCCGGGCAGTTCAAACGGACCGATCGAATGCAATTTGTGTGCTAACGTCATCAAGCGCCGATTCAGCACCGTGAAGTACCTTTGAGCTACGTCAGAGAACGACAGGAACAAAGGATGATAAACAGACAGGCAGACGTAAATAGCGTTCAAAACGTCGGAGACGGTGGTTGCCCCTTC